ACAAATAAACCTCAGGCAAGATCTGTTAAAAAAAAAAAAAAAATGAGGTACCAACCTTTACACCTAAGGCTCAGGAAACATCTTAGAAATGGGGGTGGAAAAAATCATAAGAGCCAGAGGACCAAGAAATCTGCTGTGAAATAGTGTTTCTAGATGTGACACAGAAGCTACACCCATGAAATCTCAACAATGTGGCTACATAGACAAGACCTAGATAATGTTAACAGCAGTTAACGTGTCAACATGAATAGGGGTTCACCTGGCTCCACCCCTTCACTCCGTCACCCTTTCGCTTCACATGGCCCCACCCCTTCACAGGGCCCACCCATTCAAGTGGCCCCACCCCTAGATGACGAGCACAGACCAAGGAGTGCTAAGGAAAACAGTCTTCCCTAGGGACCGGCCCCTAACGTTTATTCAGAGCCTGAGCATCCACATAGCATTCAGCAGTAAGAAGAGGCAGATAGCCTCGTGCACCTGGCCATAGCAGGACAAGATCACCAGCCTCATCAACATGGCCCCAGGGTGGTAACCACAAGTTTTAATTGTTAAATCTGCATTATAAGGCTAGTACTAACTATCCTCCCTTCCTGGGAGAACCTGGCAAGTTTGGGTAGGAAAATAGCCTTCTGAAAAAAAAAAAAAATCATAGTATTAATAAATGATACGTGTTCATTCTTTTCAAGGAGAAAAAAAAAACAGTAATTTCTAGTGGATCTTAGCAGGTTTGATTTTATTTTTTATTTTTGAACTGATCTAGAATTCAAGCATGTAAGGAAGGGATATCTCACACTTGACCAGTCTCTGCAGATATTACATATTATTGCCGGAGTTTTTGTCACGCCACTGCTTCATCTCCTGAAGCATGTTCTCAGCCATGCTGCTCGGCCAAAAGTTGATTGTAACAAACAAGCAAAACTACAGCAATTAGAATCATAATCGAGTCATCTGAGTCATATGATGTCAAGGGATTTTAGTGAACTTATTAGGTGTGAGAATGGCATTAATCCTATTTCAGTGTAAAGTCCATAGTGATTGATACTGGCATGAGTAAGAGTTAAATGCTACCTCTTGCACTTTCTCTAAAGACTAGTGAATCTCAAAAGCTGGATGAAAAGAATATTTGGACTTTTAAATCTGGGTGACCGAGAGAAATGGATGTGCTTTGAGTTTCTCATAATGAAGACATGAAAATGTAATATTAATGTTCTGCCAACACATTTGCTCTGGGTGAGCCTGAACAACTTGTTCTTCTGTAAAATGAGAGAAGAACATCTAATTTGTGTATTTGTGTGTGTGTGTGTGAAAACATGGGATGCTTGGTCCTAAAGAAGTGTCCAGTCATTGGTAGTGCCTTTGCCTCCAACTTTTCCCCTTTTTTCTGAGTCATATGCAAATTTGAATGGTAAGATGGCATTTGTATGGTATCTAATCACATTCTACCAAATGTGCTTTGATGGAGTTTTTAAAGAAAATTTCTGTAGTGCAATTGTATGACTTCATTTATAGCAATAAAACATATAGAAGTATATAGCAAAATATATAGAAATATATGTAAACATATAGCAATAAAACATATAGAAGTATATAGCAAAATATATAGAAATATATGTAAACATATAGCAATAAAACATATAGAAACAATAAAACATGAAGAAAAATGGGGTCTTAGACCTCATTTGCTTGGAGTAAGATACAGCTGAACTAGGGAGTGATATAGTCATTTGAAAGTGGTTCTTAAAATGCTGCTCAGTAATTAATTTTTTTAATTTTACATCATTTCAAAGTTTTATTAGATTGTTCTGACTGTAATTATATTTCATTAATAATATGCTTGTGCAAATACGATTTCATAGCACTATTGAAATAACCTCAGCCTGTATCATAGATACACTGCTTAAATTTCTGCTTAATACAATTTTATGAAAGTCTTTTGAAACCAAAACTGATGCTAAAAAAAACTTCAGCCACTTTGTAGCCAAAAGACTGTATTTCTATAGTAATATAAATAACAACTTTCGTAGCCAGGCACACTCTCTTTATTTGTATAATGCTGGGGGTTATTAGAGAAATAACAAAGAATTATGTCTGAACTAGACAGTCTTTGAAGTTTGATGAACCTCAGGTGTGAGGGACATTTTAAGAAGAACAGTGCCCCCGAATCTCCTCACTGGCTTGCCTCATGGGTCACCCTGTCTTCTCTTATGGAGACTGCATTTAGTTTTGAAACTTTTACAAATGAGCAAATTCTTTGCACATGGATAGTTTCGATAAAGAACATTCACCATTTTCGACAGCACAAACCTGTGCCCAGACTGTTCTAAAGGGCGAGGGATAACGTAACACTAAACCCTGTCAAAAATAACCTAGCGAGGGGATGACAAAGGGAACGTCAGCTTTGAAGCTTAAAAAAATAAAATGTACTTGTCTATAAGAAAGCACTGTTTTTAGGATCTGTTTCATGTTGCTTCAAAGGTCCCATGTCAACCCTTCCCCACAGCAAGATTTGAGATGGAGTTATGTAATTTATTGTGATGCTTTAAGCATATTATAGTACTCTTTGATAGTTTTGGGCTGGGTTATTTTTCCCCTTCTTAGGTCCCTGCAAACAGTCTCTTGCTGTGGAGACTAGAAAGGTGGCAGGATTGACAGAAACAAGAAACTAATGTGAGCAGCGATGGCATCGGGGTGGGTACTGCAGAAAAGTTTGCTGGCTTGAAAGTTGCACCCTAAAGGATGTGTGTTCTGAACACAGAGACAGGGTGAGTGCTCAGGGCTAACTACACAATCAGTAGGGGCACGGACTTTTCATGTAATACAACTTCACTAAATCTGATAGCAGCATTCAAGAAAAGTCGTATCTATTAGGTGTCTCCTTGGTGGCATGAAGTATAGTAAGCAGATGCTTTGCACATTTCATTTTACATCATATGCTGCCTGAGGCAGTGGTTCTTTCCCACTCCGTAGATCAGGAAACAGAGACTTAAAGAAATCCAGGACTCCGTTGGTCTCCTTGTGGAGCTCTGTGCCCTCCAGGTCTTCCTATCTCCCCCTTCTTTCATAAGATTCCCTGCACTCTGCCCAAAGTTTGGCTGTGAGTCTCAGCATCTGCTTTAATACCCCACAGGGAAGAGTCTTTCAGAGGCCCTCTGTGGTAGGCTCCTGTCCTGTTCCCTGTTTTCTCATTTCTCCGATATCTATCCCGTTTGCCCTTCTGAATGAGGATTGAGCATTTTCCCTAGGATTCTCCTTGTTTAACTTCCAAAAAATCTGGGCCCAGAGGGCCCTGCAGAGAGCAATATCCCAACCAAGGACCATGCATGAAGAGGACCTAGAACCCCTGCTCAGATGTAGCCCATGGCAGCTCAGTCTCCAAGTGGGTACCCTACTAAGGGGAACAGGGGCTGTCTCTGACATGAACTCAATGGCTGGCTCTTTGATCACCTCCTTCTGGGGGACAGGGGTTGCAGGAGGGGGCGGGGAGGGGGAAACAGCCTTATCAGTCCACAGAGGAAGACAATGCAGCCAGTCTTGATGAGACCTGATAGGCTAGGATCAGATGGAAAGGGAGGAGGACCTCCCTATCAGTGTACTAGGGGAGGGGCATAGGGGAGAAGAGGGAGAGTGGGTGGGACTGGGAGGAGATATAAAGTGAATAAATTGTAATAAATAATAAATAAATTTAAAAAAAGAAAAGAATCGAGGTCTCGACATGAAGCGTCCTCTCAGGTGGAGTTTGTGACTCTTCCACAGCAGGCGTTGGCTTACTCCAGCACCGAGGTTCTGTATTCTCTGTGGTTCCACAGCTGACCAAAGGCAACTAAAGCCCTTTCGGAATGACCCTGTCGACGGGAGACTTCACAGCCATAAACTAATGAAAATCAATGAGAACATGCATCCGAACGACGCAGACACAGAAATTAGAGACTTGGGTGAAATAGTTTCAACCACACATCAATCATCTGAAGGCACTGTTCTTCATCTCCATGTGGCTGGTGGGATTCTTTGAGACTGACAACAGCTAAGAGGTTGAATATTCCTGCAAACCTACAGAAAGCTGAAGAACCTACATTGATGGTTTAGAGGTCGCTAAGACCTCTAGGGTTCTAGATAGTGAATTCACTCAACTCAGATCCATCAGAACATTGTGTTGGCATGTAAAACCTATGGCATTATCCCACACTTTGAAACACTGGATAATGCATGAGAAATTAGTATTTATTTTATTTTCACCAATCAGATAAAATCATGTCTTAGTTTATTGCATGTAAATTGGTGGCAGGCAGGCTGAGCCGGTGGCCATGGGACCCAAAGCCTGACAGAATCAAACCCTTCACCGAGAATCAGCCTCCTATGAAAGGGGAGGAAGGTTGTAGGAGGGAAACAAACCTCACTGTCCACCACCAACTCTCTTCACTCCAAAATGAGACGCTTCAAGAAAAGCTCAGAAAAAAAAAGTGAAGTGGTAGATGACACAAACAGCCGCCATGAGAACGGAAGGGTACCTGTGGATAAAGGGCGGGACTCAGCCACCTCAGCAGGGATTGTGCACAGCCTGAGGTAGGAAGCTCTTGTCATAGGCAGAGCTTTTTAGGACACGGGCACTCATGATACATTAGCTCACTTTGCCCGTTGTTATTACTTCCTTTCTATATTTTCATATGCAGTGTTTATTAGTTAATATTACGAACTCAGCAAGGTAATTTCTTTCTTGGGATCAGACGCCAATTTGCTCTGAAAATTCAGGTCCGTCTCTCAGGGACTTACTGAGACTTCCTCATTCTTTCTAATGGTCTGGAAGACTGTAATGCACCGCAGACACGCAGAAAAAAATTATCCAGTGGGACCACAGGATCAGGAAGGAGGAAACTAGTGTTCTCTGCTTCTTCCAGCATGAGGGGAGGAAGTTGAAAACTCAGACGGAACTGATATTTTTTTTCTTCTGAACTAAAACTGGAAGCCTGAGGCATGGCCAGACAGGGGCAGCTCACCAAAGCTCCTTCCCAGCAGCCCCCAGGCTGTTTCAGCTTTGTTTCCCCCCGGAGTTCTGTCCTTGCCTCGCAGCGTCTGCCACCCGCCAAGCCTTGGCTGCTGTCCTGCAGGCCAACGTTCTGAATTTCCTCTTGCCTCAGAGCGAAGTCTGCGCTGGACTTGGGGTGAGTGGCAGCTCAGTGGTGAGGCGCAGGCTCAGCGCGGGTGAGGGAGGCACCAATAAGTACATATTGTCCTATAACCACGTTACGCTGAGGTTTCTTCCTTTACATGCTTCTAAGGAAATTAACCTTATTGAGCCAGTTTACATAAGGTGCAGCTGACTGATAATTCTTGCACAGCCTAAAGGCACTTGCATTGCAAATAACATCTTTCAGAGAGGGGGAGAGATCTTGTCACTGTGACTTTTGATGAACCGGTAGGAAGGGAAAATGGGCACAGCAAAATCAAGGTTTAATGCTGAGTGCTCAGGTCAGAGTTGTGGAGCTAGATCCCACACCTATTTTACACAATTCTTTCTGTTCCTCCATTTTGGAATCCAGAGAGAATGTTCTTCCTGACTTTCCCCTGCCGGGTCCACCGGGGACCGGATGAGCCTCTGGCAGCTGAGATAAGGGATAAACATTGGTAACTGTCTGTTATTTATAAGTTGGGAGCTGTTTATGTTGGTGAGATTTCTAAAATTCCACCACTGCATTTGTGACAAATGATACAAACACCAAGCTAGTGCCTAAGATCAAATCAAGAAATAAAACCCATCTTTTTTTGAGTCATTTTACTTTTTGCCTGCTTTCACTGTTTGGAAAAGCATCAGGGGAGGGCAGCATAGCAGGCTAAATGTTTTTGGTGGTCCTGAGGATGACAGCCTGGGTTTGGGACAGGCTGGGCCAGCGCTGAGCCATATTGCCAGTCCTGAAAGGAGTATTTCCTTTGTTTTTATTTCATTTTATGTTTTAGACAAGACTCACCACATAGCACTGCTGGCACCTACTCACTCCGGCCTCTTGAGGGCGGCAACTAAGGGCTGTGCCACCATGTCCAGTCTGAAAGAGATATTTTTTAAAGATTTATTTATTTATTATTTATATACTACTCTGCCTGCATATGTGCTTACACACCAGAAGAGGGCATCTCTTTATAGATGGTTATGAGTCACCATATGGTTGCTGGGAAATTGAACTCAGGACCTCTGGAAGAGCAGACAGTGCTCTTAACCGCTGAGCCATCTCTCCGGCCCCCTGAAACAGATTCTTAGTGACTGCTTCCTTAAAGGTTTACAAGCATATCGCTTGAGAGCTCACAAATACTGTGAATTCTCTACATCCTTTGAACAATGAGAACAAGGTCTGAACCCACTCACTATCTATGGAAGTCTGTGCATGCACATATATGAACAAGTAGATAGATGATAATATGACTACAAACACACATGTTTATATATTTATGTATGTACATAGATACATATACACACAGATTTATGTACTTGGATTTTGCTCTAAATCTATATACTTTATCATTCAACTGACACACTGACTTTTAAATTGGTATTACGTGTATGTGTGTGTGTGTGTGTGTGTGTGTGTGTAAATACCACAGTGTTTATATAGAGATCAGAGGACAACTTGTGAGAGTTATTTCTCTCCTTCTACCAGGTAGGTTCCAAGGATCAAACACTGGTCTTCAGGGTTGGCAGTAAGTGTCTTTATCCCTTGAGACATCACACTGGTCCAAGAAGATTTTTTTTAATCTTTTACCACATCAGGATATTAACATTTTGCTGCTGGACACAGGTGAGCAAAAACAGCAACTATGTTTCCCACGCAGACCTGAAGGGGAGAGCATTTGCAGTGGGAAGTGCAGCTTTAGAACTTACCATCTTAACCATTTTAACTTTCCAAAGAGTATTCAGTCACTGCTTCTCCTGGCCTGCTTTCAGAGCTCAGTTAGTCAGTGACTTGACAAAGCTGGTGTTGACCACAGGCTTAGCGGCAATAACTACATTCATAACAATATTCCAAATGTCTACAGTCACCCTAATCTGGACGGTGGGAGGAACTCCAGGTTCTAGACCAGAGGTGGTCAGGATGAGAGAAAACTATGGAGCCTTTTCCCTGTAGTATATCTTGGGGGAAGGGAACCTCATCCTCAGAGATGGAAGTTTGGGGAACTAGCAGAAAACCCCGGACTGAACCAATGGAAAGCTCCAGAGTCAATACTGTTGCCTCCCAGCCCTCATTTGCCACTCACTAGCTGTGTGACCAAGAAGACGGTTCTGACCTGTTCGCTCATCTGCTTAATGAGTGTAACAGAGACCCCCCCACGGTGGACTGTGAGCCATTCATGTGGTATGTCGCCAGTATAGCAGCAACAGCAGCTACAGATTGTACTAGATGGCCATCCTGGGAAGGAATAACTCCAATCACCCTGGCCCATCTTCTCTAGTCTACGTGGATTTTGAACTTTTTATGCATGGGACTGTTCTTTTGGGCAAACTGTCATATGATGGAATGAACGACATTCTCATCATGACATAAGCAGAGTTCTAAAATAGACATAAAGTCATTTTGGGTTATAAATCAATGGTCAACCCCTACGTACATGTGGGTTCAGCCTTGCCCAATTATATATATCTGTGTGTGTACAGTGTGTGTGTATACAGTGTGTGTGTGTATACAGTGTGTGTGTGTGTATACAGTGTGTGTGTGTGTGTGCTGACTTAATAGGCAACAAAGCTTTAACTTTTCCCTAACACGCTAACATATATAATGTGAGCAAAACAACTTGGTAAGGAAGATGGAATTTGGTTCCTCTTAATTAACTTCCTTTGTAGAATCAAGTTTAAGTTTAGTTTCTCCAGAGACTGGATAAATGGCCAGAGTGGTTCGAGTATCCCCTCCCAGACTCAGGCTGCAGCTTTCATCCTGACGTGAGAGACGAGAGATGGCCTTCAAGAGCTGCGGGTCATGAGGGCCTCCTTAGAGGGTGGATGCCACCGTCGTGGTGGTGGATCGGTTATCTTGCCCAGCCTCCACTCTGCCTCCTCTCCCCACACACCCCCTGGTCCTTCTCTTGCCTTCTCTTGCCTCCCTCCTCAAATGCTCTGCCGTAGGGTACCAGGCCCCTGCACCGGATCCCAGCACCTCGGGATTGGGCACCTGTCCTCTACCACTGTCAGAAATAAGTTTTTTCTCTTTGTAAATTATCCAGCCTGTGACATTCTGTTACAGTCATATAAAATGTTCCAGGTTTTAAAACAAATTCACTCACATTTTGAAATCTTCATTTTTTTTTAAACATTTTATTATGTATACAATGTTCTGTTTGTATGTATATCTGCAGGGCAGAAGAGGCACCAGATCTCATTTTAAATGGTCGTGAGACACCATGTGGTTGCTAGGAATTGAACTCAGGACCTTTGGAAGAGCAGTCAGTGCTCTTAACCACTGAGCCATCTTTCCAGAGCCTTTGTTTTCTTTATACATGAATGCCATGCTCATATTTCAGGGCTATCATGAATAGAACATAAGACAATATATTAAAAAGAGCTTTGTAAATTGTGCATTCTAGATAAATATGACTATATCTATCACAAAAATTAAAGTTAGTCAACAATGATGCTCAAACTCTGCTTAAAATTGCTTCCCTGTCATCAAATTCAGTACAATACAGGTCTTTCTCAGAGCTCATTAAAGATCATTTACATAATGGAATATCTCTGTAATGTCATTTTAAGGGAATGTGGAATGTGGATAAGGCCCATTCTCGGGTTTGCTGTAACATACAGGAGGCTATTTCCTAGTTACACTTTAATGAATCCTACAGTCTCAGCACAGAGCTCACAGGACAGTCAAAATGGTCGCTTTTTAACAATGCTTATCTTTTCTTATTTAAAACACAGATAGGTATGTGTAGCTCTTGTTTCCCAGAGGTAACGGTTGTCGATATTGTAGGACACAGTTATTCTGATTTTTAAAAATATGTCAACATGAGCTTGAAGAGATGCCTCAGCAGACAAAATGTCTGTCTTGGAAACACGAGGGTCAGAACTTAGATCATCAGTGTAGTGGTGTGTGTCTGTGACCTAACACCAGGCAGGTGGAGACAGCCAGACCCCCAGACATGCAGGCCAGGCAGCCTAGCCAAGTGCTGCCCTCTGTGTTCAGTGAGAGACCCAGTCTCAAAAAACCCAGGTGGGAGCTGGGCATGGTGGCTCTCACCTTTAATCCCAGCACTCAGGCGCAGAGGCAGGCAGATTTCTGTGACTTCAAGGACAGCCCGGTCTACAGAGTGAGTTCCAGGACAGCCAGGGCTGTTACTCAGAGAAACCTTGTCTCAAAAACCTAAATAAATAGGTAAATAAATATCAGATGGGAAGTGCTAAAGGAAGATACATAACATTGGCCTCTAGCATCTGTGTGCACATATGCACACAAACACACACTCACACATACAACACACACAATAGTGATAGCAATAAGTAAAATTGTGTCAATCTATACCTAGAAATGAAGGGACATAGATACTAACTGTAGAGGCGACTAAGAAGCTGTCTGGACTGCATGGTTCATAGTACAGCTTTTTGCTCAATAACATATCTCAGATGCTTCCATGCCCTCAAGATGGCAGTAACCTAATGACTTTGCAATACCACATTGAACACACCTCCAGCTACTTATTCATTGAGCCTGGGCTGTAAGCTGTGTCGTCTGTCCTGTTTCTTTCTATTTTGAACAATGTTAAGAGCATTCTTCTTGCTACATCATTGGCTCAGAACCAAGTCATCATCCCTCAAGGGCCATGTCAATAACAAAGCTAACAGTGATGCCTGCTGAGGTTCCTTTCAGACGGTACGCCCGCTGGTGCTCAGTTTTCTTCCACAGTTGTTTTACTGCTGCTGCAGGTTTTTATTGTTACATATTTATTAAAGAATGTTTCAATGGCTGGAAAGAGGGCTCAACAGTAAAGAGCATTGGCTGCTCTTCAGAAGACCCAGTTCAGTTCCCAGCACCTACACAGTGACTCACAACCAGCTGTCACTCTAATTCAAGGGTCTCTGCTGCCCTTGTCTGGCTGCTGAGGACACCAGGCAAGCACATAGTACACAGGTGTACAAGCTGGCAAAATGCCCAGACATGTAAAATAATAGGATGCTTTAAAAACATAA